TGGTTATTTTAATGTATTTTGCATTGATTAAAGTTGTCCAGAGGGGCTCTGGTTTGTCTTGAACTTCTAGTTGACTTTGAAGTTCGAGACCAAAGGCTCTGGTTAGTAGGACCAGAGGCTCTGGTCGCCTAAAAGGCCTCTAGTTGGTCATGTCTTTCTATCAAACCTTGTTTTTTATTAACATAAATGTCCTTGTGTCCGTGATCATGCCGACGATTCGTCCGCCCTGACGTCGATATGGCGGTGCAACGTGTCTATCGGCATCAGAGGGGAGTAGATGGAAAACGAATGCCAGCTTGGTTAAGGTTTCAAACTTCCATGGTAGATATTTATATCGAAGAGGGGAATGCCATCATTGAAGGAGACCATAATGATTAATTTCCAACACAATTTATTAATTTACCCTTTGTTTTATTTTAGTAAATAACATTAATTATCTAAAATGATTGGATTATATTGGACCTCACAGTTACAACAAACTATTTAGTTCTCATTTGATTAGACTTATATATATATATATATATATATATATATATAGAGAGAGAGAGAGAGAGAGAGAGAGAGAGCGCGCTAAGATCATTTGTTAACTATGAAAATGTATTAATTATGCAAACCATTTAAACCAATCACAAGCTACTATTAGATTAGGTTCTTCTATTACCATACAATCAATATTAAGGACATAGTGGTAATCTTCTTTTTTGTCTTAACTTCACATTCATTAATGGGCGGTTACAAAAATATCAATTCCATGATTATAGCTAAAATAATATGTTTAATTTTTTTTTTTTCAAATTATAGATGACTTGTTATTTTAATATGATAAGAACTTGAATGTTCTATCTTCAACATATATGTAATCGACATCAATCTTCAAATCAAACAACTGGGTTTGATTTATTAAACCATAATAGTGATGGATGAGTGTTTAATGGATAAATATTCATAATCGAGATATACAAACATGGATGAAGACGGTAGATCACAATACAAGAAGATTGAAGATCGTATGATTAGAAAGTATTGTGTTCACATGTGAAAGCCAATAATTAAGTAGTCGCCAATGTTCATATGGTGTATATATTGTTCACATGTGTTCATAAAACAGTATCTATATACATCTAACATTTGGTCAATATGTGTTCACAAGCAAAACATTTTAATCATATATCATTATGTTCACATGTTGTCAATTACTTAAGTGCTCATAAGTTTTAACACGTGCAAATAAGTGTTCATAATTGTTCTCGTATGTCCATATGTGAAAGCGACAAACTAAGATTAGTTAATAAGTTACATATATGTTCATATGTATTCATAAGTATTCATAATGCAACACGATTGATTCTACAAAATATAAAAGGAATGAGCAAATACCGATTTGTAACCGATGTAATTAATTAATTATCGATTTGTAACCGATATGGACATCTCTCCCAAAAATACCCTTGTTCACCTATGTTTTGGTATCTTTCATTTTTAATTAACTACAAATATGTCACAATTGATCTCATCCATAGATTTTAAGAATCAAATATCAAGATTGATTCACAAAGTTAACATCAATTATTGGGTTAACAAAAGAATCTGCCCCTATATATATATATATATATATATATATATATATATAGAGAGAGAGAGAGAGAGAGAGAGGGGTTGGTTATTATACAACCTTAACATTTATGCAACCAATACAACCCAATCTCAACCGTCCATTTCATTTGATTAATATGTGATTTAATAGAAGTTTTGATTATTTCCTAATATAAAGTATTGATCATAATTAATGAACCATATTCATCTTCCATAAATATTCAAATCATAATAAATRAACTCTCATCATTTCCATAAATATTTCGATTTATTGGGTTGCATTGGTTGTACAAATGCGACGGGTTGTATTTGAAACAAACTCTCTCTCTCTCTCTCTCCCTCTCTCTCTCTCTATATATATATATATAATCCTTTTAGTTACTTACTCTTAGGAGGTATCCTTATTAAATCACTTCGTTAATGACATTATTTAATAATTCATTTAACGTGTCTGAGAATTAAATGTCATTTGGGCACTTCAATTTGGTGTGGAGAACTACAATATATATATAAAATATCAAGTCTATAATTACAAGATGTAGATAGGCTTATAGGCTCGGGGATTAGGTCGTAGTTGACTTTTGGCGAGTTGGGTCATTAATGGGATATGGTGTGTAACTTGTAGGTCGTTGGTCAAAACCTAATACTAGCCGATCTATGCAATAAGGTGAGATTTCATGTGATTTACGCTGGGATCAGGGCCGGCCCAAAGTTTTTTCATGCCCTGGGCGGAAACTTTAAAATATGCCCCAACCAGAAGAAAAAAAAAACGTAAATATATTTTAGGGTTTATAAAACTGTTCAAATGGTGTTAGTCCATATCCAATCATTTGCACAATTTCTTCCAACGAAATGGTGTAAAACTTTGTGTAAACTGTAGTAATTCAATTCCAATGATGCATTATATTATTTTTTACATCAAATAAATTATTAAAGTATATTTCATATTCTTAACTTATATACTTTTTTAATAATATTCTTACTTTTATTAGTTTATACAAATTCTACACATAAATTTTGTTATAATAATTTT